ACGAAAACGTATAGAACTGGAGTATTAGCACATTCAGTCCCAGTCCCAGAATTACGTTTCATCTTCGTAGTTCCACTTGGCTGGTCTCTTGCAATGGATTTGGTTGTAATTCCAGTATCTGGATGAACTTTCTTCAACACTTTGTAGATGTACAGTGAATGACTTTCCTTTCTACTCACTTTCTTTTTCTTATTATCGACTGCAAAACCAGATTTCACTATACCAGCTGAAGTGTGGACGTCTTGTATTCTACAGCATACACCTTTATTGATATCTGACGGGTTATACCAGCAACTAAACTACTCGCTACATCTAGTTACGTGCTCGGCTTTTATAGGTACGGTTGAGGATCTAGAACGTTCCGTAACATTACAATAGATTCTATTTATATATAGATTCAGGGATGACTCAGCATGACACAGCTACTTCTAGAACATTCTTGAAGGTCACACTACACCAGCTTCCTTCTCTGCTATAATATCACGAGAGGGTTTACGTGATTTCGCCATGACTCTACAAAGATTCACCCTCTTCTACACCACAGTATTCGATCGAACCACAATGTAAAATCGCAAGCTTCGCAACATAAAACTGCTTCTGGCGCCAATATTTACTGGGATACCTGTGGTAGCCCAGTCATAAAATGCCTTTTTTTTTTCTGTCGTATTTTGTTTTCCTCCGCCACAAAATGGAAAAATTGCGCAATAGTACCCAGTGGTCACTGGGCCCTCAACACCATGACAACTAACTGTGATCCAATTAGGTGTTCACATGCTGATCACGCGTGATATCTTGATGATGATTGGCGTTGTCATGCTCGGACAGGGCTGGGTCACATGACGAACCACGAGATTTTTGCTTATAGGTAAATCTTATGTTTGTTTTCATTGTAGTTGTATGGATATTCTTTTTAATAAATGCATGATCCAAAATCCTGTGTTTTTTGTGTATAATGTTATTATGTTAAGTATTGTTTACGCAATTGTCTTGTCGCAGGCGGCCCAAGCTCACGCCTAGAGAAAAAGCCAACGATTAATTCATGAACTCGTCACGCGTTGTGTGACTCGGTGTTAAGTTACGAGAGGAACCGTTGAAAATTTGAACACATTATAGGGAATAGTATAGGGAACGAAATATGGTCGATTTACAACGATAAATATTTCGAAATATGAACATTTTTCTCGTAAAATCAATAAAACTTACGCACACCCCGTGTATCCGTTTTAGTTTCTGGCGATTTCTGCCGTTTTAAGTTTGCTTTACCATCACTGTTATTCGCGTCATCTAATTTTATTACGTCGGTAAAATCTGTACAGACATCACACCAACCAACTCGCGCGCAAAGTAAGAAGACTATATTGAAGGCTTGAAATTATATTATGATCGATTTTCATCAAGAAATGGGCCAGGAATTTTCCACAATAGTGCAAATAATCGTGAAGGCTGATCGCGGAAAAGCGATTGCGTGACGCTCGGTAAGCTGTAAGATAACTGTGTGTGAGGTAACTCGACATTTTCGTTCTTTTCCGCGTTAATACTCTTCTTTCCTTTGGTAAGAATGTAGACCACTTACAATGTTTCAAGTAATCCACCCACCCTACAAAAAATAACTCTTGCATGCATAGCATGCCTATGTTTTGAAATAGACTTGAGCTCACTATTTCAGTATACTAGTCCGACACCCGTAGTATCACTACACTTGATTCCAAGGATCCAGTGCCATTTAGGTATCCCAGTTACCTTGCTCACAGGGTCTAGTTTCTTTTGAAGTGTACTACAAAGTTTGTTTACATTCCGATCATTCTTTGTGAATGACGAGGTTACATAACAAAATGTCATCTAATTCAAATTTGCATATTGTTTTCCTTGAATCGTTTATTCTTTCTTCTAACAAAAAAAGTCCGAAAGCCTATTTAAGATTTGTTTCCACAGTTAAAATTGGTAGGAAGTTTCTCAAGAACGCATTTTTGGTTGACAAACGAGTTCGTAAAGTTTTAACTTGGTTTTGATTGATGATTGAGTTTTGGCTTAAATACGAACTACTTGCCGTAAAATAACTTGCCTGGGGAAGGGGAAGTTATGTTTCAGGGGAAGTTTCGAAACGCCTTTTTAAAAATTTATTTCTTTTGATCAAAATAGCATCCGTGTTTTTGATTCTTCTAGGACGAAAAAATCTGAAAGCATTTTACTTTTTGGTTTTAACCTTTGACCGCCTCTACAGGCCAGCATGGTACGTAGGTAGACATTCTTAGCCTAACTAACCAACATAGATTTTGTGCATGCATCATCTCTAATCTTGAGAACAGCGGCCACATACACACATTCTAAGCCTGTTTATAGCAATCGTAATTCTGTTACTTACCCGAGCTTAATTCTTTGTTTTCATTTTCTTCCCATCCACTCCTATGCTTTATTTGGTAATTTTCCTCAAAGCTCTTTATCTAAAAAGGACCAAACCAACAATCTCGTTTATTCTAGTTCACATGCAGTTTGGGTTATAATCTGAATTCGGATAGACTTAGCCTTATACAGTAAAACAGTGCGAAAGTTTTCTGCCATGCAACCACATTTATCTTCGATGAATCAAACGCCTTTTCAGCTTGAGCTAGTCCTGATTTATCTTTACATGTTTTACAGTAGAAAGATTATTTACAGGTGAACAGAATCATGGTGCACCAATCTCTACATGGTTTGGATAGACTATAATGCAGTTTATCGATAAAATTGCCCTTTATCGGTTGTGATAATTTCATTTATCAACTCCCCCACGGAGACCCGAGTGAAGTATTTTTTGCAACGACCTAGTTCAAAACACAAGCACTGTTCAGAATTTTCTCATTTGAAAGGTCGACGACAATTTTCAGGTTGAACTGTACTCTTACCTTGTGTACTACAGCAGAAGACTTTCTGGAGAGCTGTCATTCATTGTCGAGTCTTCAAGCACAGACCATTCCTCACAAGTTTCCAGCCATGCTTAAAGTCAGAATTTTTTTCCTTTACGACGTTTTCACTGAAAAGCGTAACAGTTCAGACCACGAGGAACCGTAAATGCAAATGATTGGAAAGATCCACACGTGAAAATTCAGACTTGCGAATGAACTGCGTTTGCGAGGTTGGTGTAAATTTGCATTCTAAGGTCTCAAAACGCTTATGCTGTTGAAAAAATGAAGGGGGGTGGGGAAGGAGGGGTCGGGAGAGGGGTTGGTGGTGTCTGGATTCTTCTTCCAAACTCGTGGAAAAAATTCTGATAGTAATAATTTACATCAGTTATAATGATGAATAAAGAGGTTTGATTCAGTTTGACTTGCTGCTGAATATTGTAGAGAAAAAGCCTCTAAAATGCTACTACCGACCAATTATCCTCTTGAGATGATGCAATATTATAATAAGTAGGAACAATGCGCATGCGTACAGTAAAAGCTCCCACAATTGTGGGGGTTTGGTAAGTTATATTTAATTGTGAAAACACATGTTAGGCTGAATGGTACAGGCGATCCCCGGCATACGTGCTGGGTTACGGGGAGCTAAAGACCCGTGTTTCTCGTGATCAAGTAGAGAGACTCGCCTTGAATTTTTGGCTTGAGGGCTAGCCATCGCTTGTGGTGCCCTCGTAAATCAATCTCCTCTAGAATGAAGAAATATCGACGAAAAAAAGACTGGAAAAGATGCAAATAACCAATACTTATCTCCATCTTTAAAGAGAATCTGTTACTTTCTTTCCCCAAAATTCCCCCTGCTCTCGACACTTCTGCATTCCTTGATAAGGTTGCAATGATACTGTGACCATGTCACACTCCTTTTTGCCAATGTCACGCCATAAGTGACGCGTGACACTTATAAAAAGAGTTGTGTGACCGGTAGTTTTAGAGGTGTACAAAAAGTTTAGAGGATCATTTAGAGGTCACTAAATCGCAAAACTAAAAATTGCCACTAACTTACATTTCCCTTTTTTTAAATGGTTTATTAAGCATTATGTACAAAAAGCATTTGGTGTAAATAAGCCTGCATTGCTGGTGGTTTTGCTGGCAATTTTGTGGGTGGTTTATAATTTCACGTCACCACACTTAGTACCTAACAAGTGTGGAAGTTGCTCATCCCTTAAACTGATACAAATCTACCAGCTACACAGGCTAGACATAAATCAACAGAAATTAGCTGGTGTCCATTGCAGAAGCTTCAGTGGTAGAGGAAGGTTCATCTGCATCAGTTTTGTCTTCTGTAGAGGCACAATGGATGATGAATACTGAGTTAAGCATTACAAAGAGAGAACATCTTGGTGCATTAACTCTCTGATCCTTAGATCTCAGAAGAGAAGGAACTTAACACCAGGATTGACAATACAAAAACATCTGTGAATATGAGAGCTATTTTTGCAGTAACGAACAATAATTAAGCAGTAGCAAAAATAAATCTTGAAAAAAATTCTGGCCGGTATGGGATTTGAACCCATGGCCTCTGCGATACCTAGGCAGTGCTTTACCAACTGAGCTGACAAGCCAACTGGGAGATGGTCATCATGTTGGTTGTAAATACACCAGTGAAGTGATGATATTTTTACTATTTTTCCTTCACAGTCAAAAACATCTGTTCATATGAAAGTCCGCCAACTATTCATATAATTATATGCGAGGTCCACCCCCTTGGAAAAATGTTTTAGAGTTGGCCACTATTGCTCAGGTCTAATACTGTTTCATTCAATACTGACAAATTTGATACACTAAATTTGCGAATCCTGCTTGTCAGTGCGACAATAATTTGTGATTTATATTCCACTGCATTTACACTTTTGACCCCTGATAGTGACTAATGTCCAATCTCTCCTCACCATACCCCCCCTGAATCACACATTAAAGTCATGAGAATATTGGAAACGATCACTAACAAAAGAAAACCTTGATTGGATAAGAAATTCTCCTTGTCAGCACCTTTGGAAATGTATGGAAAACAGTATAGAGAATATACGAGCTGATGTTGGAGTGTGAAGAGTTACGTAGAGAAGTCTCACCTTCTAGCATCCGTTGTAACTCGTGAATTGTGTTGATGAGAAGATGGAACTGTTTCTGTCGCAGTTCAAGCTGGAAAAAAGGAAGAAAATATCCAATAACATAATTATACAATTGATATTTTCAAACTACTTATTTGTACTTGACTTTCTTTGACAACAAACAGAATTTCTGGCTCATAAAGTTCTTTAGGAACTATCAAGTCTTATACCATCATGCCTCAAAACTCCTCACACATCAACATGCACATGGTTATCACACCATTAAATGCTCTGAAAATTGTGAAGAAAGGGAAGATGTGTTTTGCTTATTTTCCCATCCATGGGAGAGGCAGTATCCCTTGTTACTTAATATTTTAAGGGAAACTTTGAGAAGGTCTGCAGATGGGTCAATAAAAAAGAATATTTTTTCATCCTTCCCTTGTTTTTTCCCCTGTAGTCTACAGTGCTCTTACATGTTTCAATTCTTTCACGTTTCTATCTCTCTGTCCACACAATTCTGACGAGAGCACTTTGAAGAAATTTGCTAATTTGATTCACCTACCTTGGAGAAAAGACTTTCTTTAGTACTTGTCAGAGAATTGAGTTCTTTATCTAGTTCTTCAATTTGTCTGCAAAGAGAAAATTCAACTGAACAGTTAGATCCAATGTAAGACCTAATAAAAAATACACTACTTCTTCAATAAATATCTCTGGAAAACCTTGCCAGTTAGGTTAATACAAATGACTTGCGCATACTTGCTGATAACAAAAGGTTGTTGAATCATTTAAGAAGGAATATAATAAATACAAAAATATCCCACACTTACTTGAGAGTTTCTTGCCTCTCTGGATGTTGGGTGATAACCTTAGCAAGTGCATCATATTCTAAATAAACATAAAAGTTGGTATTCAAAAGATGCTACTCTTTTTGTCTCAAGCCTGGACCCAAGAAATTCCAAGTCTCTCACAACGAATATGGGAAGATGGGAGTGGAGTTGGTATGATAGAATTTGGCAATTGATGAAAAAAAAGTTAAGTTTCTCTATGGAGTTTTTGGTTTAGAATTTCAAAGTTTACAGGAGGAAAGCAGAATTGAGAGTGAATGAAGCACCACAGTAATCAAAATGGCCTTACATAATTTCTGTTTAAGTACAAGTAACATGTATTGTTTACAATGTTCCTGTACCTTGTCTGTTTCTTCTTATCCTCTTTGCTTTCTGCAGCTCAGTCTTGCAGGATGCAATTTCCTCATAGGCAAGTGAAATACTCTGCTCTGTTTTTTAAAGCAAAATGTTAACCTTGTCACTCATGGGAAGTAACACCACAAATCATTTCATGTAAGTATCAACATTTCAGCTTCTTCAAAGATGCATCTCTTGATTTAACCCTTTAACTCATGTGAGTAACCAAGACAGAATTTCTCCTTACAGTATCAATACAATATCAAACAGATAAGTGATGAGAATAAAGAAAAATATCAGTATGGGGTAACCAATTGATCCAATACTAAATTCTCTGAACTAACATAAGAATTGTATGGTTGACAGTAAGCAGTTTTTTCAAACTTCTTTTCCTGCAATGGCTCAAATTGCTGCAACCTGTAAAGATCTATTCATTGAGCAATAATTTTTTTACATTTAAAATTTACAATTCAAGTTACAAGCAAAAATTACTCTTACCTATTTCACTATAAATCTTCTCATAGTTTTCAGTTTCCAGCTCATTCATTTCATAGACAGTCTGTGTTTTACCAATAGCAAATTCACACTGAGCCAGTTGAATAAGCATTTTCTGATATGTGGCATCACTGGAAAAGGAAAAAAAGACAAACAAAATGAAAAGCCATGTAATATATAGCCTGTTTTTCACTAGCGACACAAGCACAAATGTAACTGCAAACCCAAGCTTAACAGCTCTTATTTCACCATGAAAACAGCCTCAACACATGCATAAACACAAACACAAGCACAAGGATGGAAATTTTCTTCTTTTTTCTTGTGATAATACTTGTGCTTGTCAAGTTCATTTTCATTTGGCATAATTACTTTATACTTGTGCTCATGCTTGCATTGCTGGTTAAAACCAGGCTCAACTTTAACTGGAAGAGCTACTTACATCAATGTTATTAAGGATGTTAGGCAAGCCATGATGGCAATAGTATTGAGGATGTTGCAAAACAAAAGATCTCATGAGCAGAAAAATAACTCAGCAAATGTGCTTTAAAACTTTGTACATGTCTTAACCATTCTCTGCAAAACAACAACATGAAATCCCACATATTTGTGTGATCAGAGAACCAAGACCCTGACAACAAATTATTTGAGTTTCCATTTGGAATTCAACTCTGCTCATGTACATTATGCTGAAGCTGAGGTGTGGTGCCATAAGAGACTGTAAGAGACATCTAGCCTTTGCAAAATTCTTCCTTCGACTATAACTACGTTTTTTGATTTACATCTTCTTTGACATCTCTGTCCTGACTGCTTAAGGTCCCTATTAAATGGTCAATACACTGAGAAAGTCGAAAACTATGCCATAGTCTGAAATTAAACTAATCTTACTTAATACAGTTTCATTGAGCCGTTAGTCACAGTCCTGAAAAGTCAAAAAATGACCCATAAAGTCCAAATCAAACAGTGAGTCGCTTACCTATAAGGAACACAGTCCACAGTATGAAGACTTCATTAACACCATAATATACAAATAGTGTATTCATAAACAGCTCTTCAGCTGACCGCGACCTTACAGAGACAAATCTTATGTAGCCACGCATTCTAGAAATAAGCTTTCCTACAAATCGCACATATAAATCTGAAGTAAAAAAAGGAAATCCTTGGATGAAGAAATATGAAACAGTACTAACTTGTCTTCCTCCTCGCCAGTAGAATTACACCATTTCAGAAATGTCTTCAAAAGCGCGGTAATTCTGCGATCATCACCCGCACCTTCTCCATCAATCAACAGCCTCTTCCGAATGATATCATCTTAAAGTAGAAAACACACAATCAACTTTATGTTGACAACGCAAAATGGAAAAGTGTTTTTGCGTTTAAGTCCCCTCTGACTCACCGTCGGTTGCCATCTTGAAACTAACAGAATACTGCACCTGCGAGAGTCTGGGAAAGAATTTTCTATTCGTTTCATGGTGTAGATAAACATGATTTGTCTACCAACACCAAGAATGGTTTCTGTTCGTAATGTTGTTATAATCGTGAAGCAAATCTTGGAAGAGTGGATTGTTCGGGAGTCTGGAATACTGTCCAAAACACAATGCGAAACCTTGCTACGTTCTGAAGAGACTATCTCTACCTTACCTACCAAAAGAGGAAATTACCCGAGATATCCCCTCTATGAGGAAATTTCAAAAAAGTTACATCAGTGGCTGTCCACTGGGAATTTTCCTGTAAAAAGCGAAGCTTGTGGATTACTTTCGGAGGAAAATTTTTTTCAAGAAAGAAAAGGAATCAGTTACGAAAAAGTTTCGCTGGTACTGGCCTCCCTTAACGATTCTTGGACAGAGATTTCTGATGAAGAAAAACATCTTCAGTTTTCTTCTATCATAAAAATTCTTGGCGTTAGAGGATTGCTTGATCTGCTTAATATTCGTCACACGCAAGGAAGTGTTGATATTTTTCCTCCTCCTGTTAAAGTTCTAATTGAATCCTTTAACGAGAAACACAAACCAAATGCCAATTTGACAGTTGGTGCAAGGGCCTTGTCTAAACACTGTCACAGGGATTCCAGTGAGTGGTGGGGTGCCTGTGCGGGTAGTGAACAAGTTAAGAACGAACATGCTATTACAGTTGTAATGCGTATACTAGAGGATGCTTCATGGATTAATATCCACCTACTGCCACATGAGCTCAAAGTTATTGAAGTGAGGTGCACTGAAGGTTACGGCGCAAGATGGAGTCATGATGGAAAAGTTTTCCGTGGATTTCTTGAGCCTCAAATGGAGGATGGTCATGCAGCAGGGTGGAAGCATTGAACTTGTAGCTCACTGTCAATTTAAATTCTTTTTTCTAGCTAATATATATTTTCTTGTAAATACTTCTGAAAATCTTTTCTAATCTCCTGTTTGGTGATCATTGTATAATTATATTTAAATTGTTTAGAGAAATTTCATTTAAATCACCCCTCAAAGTTAGGGATCAATTTTGGTATCTAAGCTACTGCACACCCTACCTACCTATCCCTCCCTAAACCCAACCATAGTCAACTGATGACAAGTAGGGTCAACGTTGGGTTGGGGGAGGGGCAGGTGTGCTGTTGCCCAAATTCTGACATTAATCTGAAGTTAGTGTTAAGGTTACTGTAATATTTAGCAAGTTCGTAAGATAACTTGTGAAAATCAACACTCTTCTGGTAAAGTTTTACCATATTTTTTACTGGTATCTGTCAACATAAATGTTTATCATAAAATCACAAATTGTTAGGAAATATATATATTTGGAAATGATCTGAAGAAGTAATAAACAGTAGTTTTCTATCGCATCAGCAGAATCCATGCAAATGCATAGAACTGAACCTCTTTGGTAAAAGTGAATAATCTTCCGGAAGAGACGCTTCAATCCAGTTATTTTGACTCATTAATAGACCGCTGGCTACAAACGTGCCAGCGAAGGGGTTTTGAGAAACTCGTTCCCAGGCCGACAGAGGTTCTTGACCCATGTAATAATGGCGGTTCGAATATGTATATTTTTGATATTTTTCTCTGACTATTTCTCGATTTACTGCCGCGTTTCAGCATACAAAATTGTAAAAGTTGCAAACTACAACATTTGGAATGTTATGTTCCAGTGGGAAACAAGAAAATACTTCATTGCGGAAATGGTAATTTTTCACGTTTTTTGATATAATTTCATATCCGTCTCTTGACATGAACATTCAACCTTCACATATTTATGTGTTTCCCGCTGTTTTGTTTATTTTTTTGGTAAGGTTATTCTTATAATCCCAGCGAAAATAGTCATTTGAAAGGTTAGGTGACTATTTTTCTGGCTACATTCAATTTAAAAAAGAGAAACGAATCAAAAGAGAACTATTTTAATCGATTTTTATATTTAACAAATTTTACAACAAATTTAATCAAATTTAACGTTGCTAAATTGACGAAAGTTTTCGAAATTCATAAATATTAGAGATTATTGATGTTGAAAAATCAAATATCGCGAGATTCTTGCTCTTTTTCAATCTTTATAAAATGTTTGTTGGTGTTAGTGGGTAGCTGAGCCAGGTCAACTCTACCTGTCGGTTAACCCGTGTCAATACCCGTGTCCACATGTTGGGAAGGGTTGAAATTTGTTTTATATTGACATCAACTTGAAAGTTTGTTTGGGTTGGTACTTTCACTCAAACAACCATGTTGGATTTGTTAGCTTTGTTTTCACATTGTGATATACTGCTATTCTGTCAAGGGCACTCAAGTTTGTATTTATTTTTATTTTTGTTTTATGGTTTGCAATTTATTATTCCAGATAAATAAAATTAACCCAGATGTGATTGGTTTCCAAGAAGTGAGGGCTGATGCTAAGGATGAAAGAAACCAGTTAACCGAGCTTCAAGAGTTAATTCCACGGTACAAACACCTAGTTTATCACCCTGTTGCCATGGTTACACACCCAGCTGGTCAACAAGGCCCACCAGGGTGGGAACAGGAAGGCCTGGGACTACTCAGTAAACATCCCATAATACTAAGTCACGTTGTGAACCTTACTATTGGGAAAGGTGGTGTTGATCGCAACAAGAGAGCTATACTTCATGCCCAAGTTGATATTGATGGTGATGAGCTGGATATAACAGTGCTTCACTTATCCTACGATAAAGCTCAGCAATGCCAAAATGCAGTGGATGTCATTAACTATATTGCATCAATGGGAAGTGAACGCTCTGTTTTACTGGGTGACTTCAATGCATACAATGATTTCCATTGGCCTGTAAATGGAATAATGAAAGGGTCTTTCGACAAGCAAGGCCCATGCCACGCATCCAGCCATTTGGATCCACAGGGATTAAACCAAGGATATGGCTTTGTGGATGCCTGGGTGACAGCAAATGGGAACAGCAAGGGATACACCTTCAGCAATATGGTGTGTTGTAGAAAGGTTTTTCTGCCATGCTCTTGCATAAATGCTCTAATCCTTTTTTTAGCATTTAATAATGTACATGAAAAAAAAATTTTGCTTCTGATTGGCTGAATGCAAAGTTGTTACACTAATGTAAATTACAAATAGCGCTCCCTTGCTTTCAAACTTGCCTGTCTTGTGCCCTATCCATTCCAAGAGCATTTTGCAGAAAAATTTTCCATTGGTCTATTTTGTCTGAACATTATCTGACCTTTTTATATATAACCTTTTAACTCCCAAGATCTCATTAGTAATTCTCCTTACTGTCTGCCATACAGTTCTTGTGATGTTAGTTTGGAGAATTTGGTATTGGATCAACTCAATCCCCTAATTGATATTTTTTCTTAATTCTCATAACTTGTCTCCTTGATTTTGTGTTGATATTGTAAGGAGAAATTCTGTCTTGGTCATTCATGGGAGTTAAAGGGTCAACAGTATCATGTTGTTTTGGTTTCTTAACACTGATCTCAAAGCTCTTGCTAAGGGCACAAGCTAAAGATAAGCTTATTTTCTTTCCAGCCAGAGCCCGGACTCATTAGTCGGCCAGACAGGATCCTTGTTTCTTTAACTGGACTTCAAGTTGTGTCTGCTGAGATTCACGGAGATGGAAAAATCTACCAACAAAAGTACAGCTTGCAGAATAAATGGGAAAGGCTTAAGAAAGCATACCTCGTGGCCAAAGAAACTGCATATGGTCCACGTTTTAAATACACTTGTCATCAGGACTGTGGCCCTCATGGATCATGTCGGTGTGGTGTTTGTGTTAAAGGAGGAGATACAAACAACTGCGAGTTGCCCTTCTGCTTTGAATGCAATGCCGAGCACTTTAACAACTTTATCTTAATTTTTGTGTTATATTCCACAACTTTGGTATTTTTCCTGTACATTCTCATAAAAATGTTGATACAAAGATGTTTTGCAAAGATGAGAAGAGCGCATGCCAGGGTCTTGTTTTTGTTGTCGAATAGAACACTAGGAATAGTTGTGGTTTGTTTAATGGCTGCTCTTTACTTCATCACAATGACTTTGCTACAAGACACCTTGAAAACTGTTAATGGAAGGATTGCAGAAGAAATGTTTCCTTCAGATCATATGATGGTCACTGCAAGCTTGAAGTTTACATATAGATAGCACAAACTGATAATCAAAATAAGTAACCATGGTCCATGGTCTTCCCAACTGAATTTAAATAATGTATTCAAAGAAACAAGTGACCAATACTTAAAATTTTTTATTCTTGAGAAAAGAAATTTACTTACCTTACAGCATGGTTTGTACAGAGAGGGTAGCAAAGGAGGGGGGGTGGGGAGAGAAGTCCAGTTTCATGCAAGATTTTTAGGAAAATGCATGCAATTGTGTACCGTAAACAATACTTCATGCCACAGAAATTTGCAAGGGAAGACTTCGAATCTCACTTTTCCTTGCCCTTTTATGAAATTTACACATAACATCCTTATTGGGGGCTTAAGCATGCCTTTGGACCCTTTGCCAACCTCTACAGAGATGATATGTGCACTAACAGAAGTCTATGAACATTCTATATATATATAATTTACAGCCCTAAGAATGAAAGAGATTTAAAAAAAATGAGTGTTTAACAGCTTATCTGGGTTTTTCTGTGGTCTTCACTGAAGTTTTCTCTTCTTCATGATGAAGTTGCCTTTTTTCCCTGACCTTTTCAAGTCTGTTACGTCACTCATTATGTATGCAATATAAAAATGTCTTTCAATGACACTATTTATAAGAAATTTACATAAAGGTTCTTTACATTCAAACATTACCACATTGAGGGTTAAAACATAGTTCTTGTGTAAAGCAAGTGTGAAAGAATAATAATAAATGTTCTTTTGTGCTTTCAGTTTGTTAGTATTTTTGTTGATAATCCTTTCATCTATTATCACTTTACAGCATTGTATTCCACAGACTTTGATGGATCTGCAGGAAACTTCTTTTGGCAAAAGGTCATCAGACGTTTTAGTCCCTGAGAAAGAACAAAACTGTTTCACTGCAACATATTTGTGACATTTTAAGACACATCTTATTAATTTCATTAGATAACTATTTTTTATCATTATTTTCCATCTTAATCTTTACCTGAATGTACTTCCTTTGAGTTTCATCATTGAGAACATCTGATAAAACAAAAGTTAAGGGAACATAGAAATGAATGGAAACTTAATGAGCTGCATTATCTGGGTAGAGGTGACTGTTAACCCCTTCACCTCCAAGATCTTATGAGTAATTCTCCTCAATTTTTGCCTTACAATTCTTGTGGTGTCAGTTTGGAGAATTTGGTATTTGATCAACTAATGATCCCCTAACTGATATTTTTCATTATTCCCATCAGTTGTCTGCCTGATGTTGTACTGAAATTGTAAGGAGAAATTCTGTCTTGGCCACCTATCAGAGTTGAAAGTTTAAGAGAATTGTGATCGTTGTACTTGAGCTTTAAAATTCAGTGGAAATCCTCCTGTAAATTAGCAAACATCAAACCAGTAAACTGGTAAAAGGGATACGAGCCACATTCTGGGCAAAAATTTTTTCTCTTCCTGTTCGTGCATGGATTCCCACCATAGTTACACCAATAGGCCAAGGTGCATTTCCTATTGCCATCTGAAGATACGAGTCATTGGCCTGTGGGATAAAATATAGTGATGCTTATCAAACTAAGCTTCCTTTTAAAATATCCTTCATTAGCAACAAAAATTTCCTAAGAAAGTCCTACTAAAAGGTTTCTTAAATATCTTTTAACTCTTTCCACCCTAACATCAGTATGCATATTCTCCACTCTGCTCTCTATACATTTCCTGATGTGCTGACAAGGAGAATTTGTTTAACAATCAAGAGCTTTTTAGTTGATGATCATTTCCTATCTTCTTGTGACTTTAATGTGCGATTCAGGGGTGATATTGTAAGGAGATATTAAATTTTATCACTCTCAAGGGTCCAAGGGTTGAATTGGAGTATAGCCTCTAGATGGAATTTTTTTTTTTGGAAACAAATCAAAACAATCAATAAAATCAATGAAAGATTGAAGTAAAATCAAAGTAACTAACATCATTGAATTGACTTCATACCTTGACATACTCTCTTTCTAAAAGATTCATTATGATGGTTGTTAATGCACCAAGAATATCTTGAGGTGTTTTCTGTATGGAAACAACAAACAAATCTGACATCAATAAGTGCAAGTGTCTAAAGTTTTTAGATGAGTTCAACATCTTTTTTTTTTAAGCAGAAATTTCCACATAGAAAAAATCTGTCATTTTTTAATTTAAAGTCATCACTCTGATAATTATGGAACTCTTATTGTTGATGACTTTGAAAAGCCACAATAATTGTTAAAAAAGGACAGTTCTCCAAGTTTATTGTTTACCTTATTTTTAAGTTTTCTCAACAATGGCTTCAGATATGATTCTGTCTGTCTTTGAGTAGCACCTGCCAATTTTGCCTATTTGCAAACAAAATAAATAAAGTTTAAAAAAACAAATAACTAGGTCAATATATTCAGCACCTAAACATGCTTTTGACACAGATAAACACAACTGGAAAGAATCCACTTGTGTTTAAAATACCAAAGGCTAGGAGGCAGACAAGTTGGCTATTTGCAAGCCACAGCACAGGGGTGACCTGAAGACTACACATGTGCGTTAACACCTGGAGACTGCATGGGCTGATACTGATATTTGATTGAGCCTTCTGATTGTCTGCGTGAGGGTAGTCCAAAGAGGGACTGTTATCAGTAGTACTGACTAATGCTTCAAAAGCCTGAACAGAAGTTACCATCATAGTCTAGTGAAGAGTTCTTGTCAATCAAGTTCATGTAAACTGTTAGTCAATTTTGCTGTGATGTTAAAATCATACTGATCTGTTGTAAACATTTCATTTTGGTTCCAAAGGAAAAAAGAGATGAATTCATACACTGTAGATCTTCAGTTACTATAAAGTAATTTCAATTTCTAATTCTGTAGTGAATCATGAAAAATGCTCTAGCTCTAGCTAAAGGTTTTTTTAAAACAATTTTAGTGCAGTGTGCTACCTCAAGGCTTCTTTTGCTATCATCAGATCTTGTCTTGCAATCCTTAGCCCATAAACCAAGGAGGAACTAGAAGGAAAAACAAAACAAACAGACATCTAATGACAAACAGAATCTATTTTGCTGTGGGTTTGTACAGTAATAGACACAGATGACGTCAAATTGTGTTAAGAGCATCAATGACATGCTCAGCTGTGGGTCATCTGCTGCATGCTTGTTTTTGTTTTTTTTTTTATCAATGCCTTTATCCAAATGACAATTTATACTTTAATACTGCATAATTAACAATTTTCTGTGAAAGTACAATCTGCAGTTCACCTGAATAAACTTTAAGATGACATCTTGATCCAAATTTTCATTACCTTTACCCATATTTATGGCCAGTTCCTTCAAAAAAAATAGAGAATATATTGTGCATATAGTTTAAAAAATACACAAAAATTAGCATTAAAAATATCTCTTTAATTGCAAAATATATTCAAAAGTAGAAAGCTAACCAAAGATAAATTTACCTTGATATCCTCCAAGGTTGTTCCATCTTCTTCAACTTGTGACGATTCTTCACTTTCTGAACTTTGTTGTTCACCACCACCCTACAAAAACATCCTTCTGATTAATTGCCTTATTCTCCTTCCACTTTCACAAAAGTCTGTTTTGAGTCAAGCGCTCATCTAGTCACTGCTTGTCCTGGTTTCCTTAGCATCAAGTGACAAGAAATGTTACTACCACCTCCTCCCCTGGATGGGATGCCAGTTCATCACAAAGTTACCCCCAGCATTTCATCAGGCCTCCCTGACAATTCACCAGTGCCCATTTATACTCCTGGATGGAGATAGGCACTGTGAAAGTAAAGTGTTTTGCCCAAGAACTTAACACAATGACCTGGCCAGGTCTCACACTCACAGAGGTCAGAATGGCCGAGTGGCTAGGGCGCTGGACTTATAATCTGGTGGTCCTGGATTCAAGTCCTCCACCCTACCACTCACTAGATTTGTCCTCAGTAACCCCTGTTTCAACTACTCAGCTGTGCTGTGTAAATAAGCCAACTGTTTTGTCTCCTGCCAGTTGGGATTTTCAAGCACTTTATGTTTATCTGAACTATTTGTTTCTCTCTCTTTTCTGGCCCACATTATAAACTACTTAGTCCACCAGTAATTGTGATAGCCATTAAAGTCTATTTTTTTTAACTCTGACCTCTTGAAACGGAGTCCAGCAAACTAACCATTAGGCTGCTGTGTTTGACACTATCTGGCATACATTTCTCAAAATTTGTAACCACATATTTAATAAAAATCATTCATTAACTTTTTTTGTCATCTTTTGTTCGATGAGAGCATACCTGCTGTTTAATTAACTCTGCTAAATATTCCTGATCCACTCTTTCCATGGCTGCTTTGAAGTCATTCCTCAAACCCTGGTGCAAAACAAAACAAAAAACAAAAAAAAAACAAAAAAACGAAAAAAAAAAGAAAGAAAAACTGAATAAATGTACAAAAGGATCCTCTTTGGAATTTTTGCATGGTATGCAGTAAACTTTTCTCTGCACAACCTCTCAGTGTTAAAAGTAGATATTTTATGTTTCTGTAGGATTAAACAAAATGTTGTGAATCCTCAAGCATTATTAATTCTTTCAGTAATTCCCTCTTATATCTCTGTTGTTCTCTTATCTGTATACAACATTGTGTTAATCATCAACAGGCTCTATAAATTGAATTTAAAACAAAAAAGTTGGATTGAATTTCAATTCAATACCTTATTAATTTCTGGAGCAAGCATCTCAATTCTCCTGTTGATTAAAAAATTAATACATTTTTCACTATCAGTGTTTTGCATGCAATCCTGTAAAAGCTAATTACAGGGAGAGACACTGACTTGGCACTCCTAGCTTGACTTTTTTTAGAGAAGTAAGTCAGCCAATGAGGAAAAAAAAAGCTCAGGCAAGTAAGGAAAGTTTTATGGAAGAAAACAGTGGAACATATCTACACATAATCCTGTCAAAATGTTTAGTACCTCACTTTGACTTCAAACCTTAAAACTAAGTTAGACAAACCATGCAAAACAGGTTACAAATTTAGTCTCCTTTTTTTGTCATGGTCACCAAAGCTACCAAACTAGTCACAGCTTGGAGCCTTATAACTACAAACCTCAATCTTTGACAAGCTTCCTCATCACTCTCAGCAAACAATCTAATTGGTTCTGCCCTTTCTCTCAATCTGCGAATCACCTTTAGAAAGGAGAACAATAAAAAAAGTCTTCTAGCTGCCACAAACATTTCTTACAGGTGAATATGGATAAATCCAATCACTGCAAGGAAGATCAGAGGAAGAAGAATCTTTCTCCTATATAAGTGTCTCATACTGATGAAATGCTGTTCTATTATTAAACATTTTCATTGGAGTATTTTCAACTTTCTTAGAGATTTGTGAGTAATTTCATTACTGCTGGTTACTGCAGCTAAATTACGATAATGACCTCCTCTCTTGGAATCAGAGCAGAATTTGCTTCATTTTCATCTTTTTTTCTTTTGAAGGCAGCAAATATATCATCATCTGCAGCCCTTTTACCAGCTCTCTCCTGAAAATGGGTCAACAAAAAACTCTCATAAGGCATATTTCAGTAATGAAAACCGGATCAATATCAGTATCTGGGCAACTGCCCACCTACCCCTCCCCTAACCCAACATTAACCCTAACCTGTTATCAATAGACTGTTGTTGGGTTAGGGGAGGGGTAGGTGAGCAGTTGCCCAGATACTGATATTGATCCTGAAAACCATAAATATTACTGTCATAGTAAGTGCATTAAATTCATAATCATTGTTAATTTTTCTTGTGTTCTTAAATTCACACTGTCTCCTACCAGGCTATAACACTTTTGGCAAAGCAAAGGGATTTCAGAGGAACCTGGTGGCTGCCAGAGTTCCCTCAGCTTCTTAATAACATGCCGCCAGTTATGCTGGTCAAAACAATTACCTTTTGGCCCTTAACCCTATAACTCCCATGAGTGACCAATACAGAATTTCTCCTTACAATATCAATACAATATCAACCAGATAAGTGTTGAGAATTAAAAAAAATATCAATTTGGGGATAATTAGTTGAGCCAATACTAAATTCTCTAAACTAACATTATAAGAATTGTTTAGTCGACAGTAAGGAGAATTACAAATTTGATCTGGGGGTTTAAGGGTTAATGAACTCCTCATACTCACCTGCTTTTACCAAGTCCAACCCCAACTCCAAACCATTTTGAAATCCCTAAAAGCAGTATCCTATAGAACCTCTTATTCAAAGAGAGAAATCATTTACCTCCTTTTCCTGGAGCCTTTTCTAGATTGGAATAAAAATATACAAAGTGTTAGAGGACTAAATTCATTTCGTAAAATTAATTTGCATTTAAAATTTGTGAGAAATCAAGTACTGCAGGGTTTTACCTCTTGCTTTTTTCTATAGTCTTCTGCCTGTTTAGCAGTTAGGTCCCCGCGCTTAAAGTATTTTTTATTCTGGTGAAAAACAAAAATAATATCATGATGCAGCCTATATTACTGACATTAGCAACCAACTAAATAAAAATGTTGTTTGTAAATATGAATGTTGTAAAAACTGAAATACCTCCACTGACCAATTCTAAGAAGGGCATAACTTAATGCTATTACTAAGAAAATGTTTCAATGCTGTTAAATTAATAAATGATAAATTTGCAACTTCTTTATGCTCTCTTAGCATAAAATTGTTGGCTACAGTAGCATAACACAGCCATATTCAGAACTGATGTTAATAGGTCCTCTAAAGTTTGTTTATTAAGTGTTTACCAAAATGTCATTTAAACCTTTACTTCCAAGATCACACAATCAATTCTCCTTACAGCATACCATATATTTACTTATGTTTTAGCTCTGAGAATTTGGTGTTAAATCAAGTACTCTCACTAAGTTATTCAGTTTTTTTCTTCACCTTTCTGCTTGTTTACCTGCATATATTGCAAAGAGGAATTCTTTTTGGATCATTTGTGGGAGTGAAAGTGTCAACATTGTTTTTAATTGATTACATTAGGTCAAAGTAAGCCTCATATGAACAAAATGTAAGTTAAACGAAAAAGAACTATCACAGCACAGAAGGGAAAATCAAGATAGTTGACTCACTTCCTATTTCAGTGATAATGATTACCAGTCTAAATTCTCTTTTGTTCCAAAAGTGATTTGGTGATATATTTTTTGCTAATCTCTTGATTTATCTAGCAGTCTGGACTTGATCTATCTGCGGTGGTCGGCATGCAGATTGTAAACGTGCATGTAGATGTAGTTATAATTTTTTGTGCGCCTGCAGTACAAATTCCAAGGCTCAAATTATTTTCTGAAAACAACTATGTTTTTACTGTGTGCACAGCTTGCTCTTTGTCTTTCCTTTGCCAGACAACTTCTTTCTTCTTGGTTAAGTATTTAAAAAGTTAAGAGAGAAGAAAATTTGAAAACGAAACCGTGAATAGATATGATAAAGACATATTCATCTTGCAAACATAGATGAAGAATACGAGAATCCTATTCGAGCTGGTTCTGTTTGAATTTATCACATTTTGGCCAAACGTTTCTCTCGTATTGTAGTTCTAATTTAAAGATACTTACCGATGTGACTTCATTTTGATCTATCTGTTTCCTTTTTCTATCGATTTCAGCAAGAAGAGAGTCCATTATATTTACAACCTAATAACCTTTACTCCTAATAATCACAAACTCGTATAAATGCGGAATGGTATCCTGGCTAGATTCTTCATTAAACACGAGAAGACCCTGGGAATGAAAAGTTGCATGACAAACTGGACTTCCGGCGGAAATGCCGTAGAATTTCCTTCTGAGGCTTGGGTTTTCTTGCGAAAACTTCATAAAATTACAGTTAGAAAAGTTGATCGGATGAAATCTACAAGAAAGGCTGCATTTTTTTTACTGCTTCTTTGTTTTCTGAAGATTTCCTTTTATCAAATATTTAACGCAATCCTTAATCGACCCTATACCTTTCTAGGGTGCTTTCCCCATATGCTGAAAGTAACGCTTGCGTCTACGTCAATTTTTTTCCGAGAAACCTGATTCTTCGAGTCCACTTAGTTATTCTAACTCATTGTGATCTTCGGCTGCTTTCGTGTATTGAGTCGAAAACATCTTAAAGGTACGCTTTATCGCTCTTGAATTATGGTTTTAGAGAGATCATTTGTGATTCTTTGTTTTTAATCACATTTTGCAGCTGTGAGGCTAAAGTCAAGCGGAGTTCTGTCCAGAAGACGTCGAACTGCTCAAACCTGTTGTAGTATTTTCCGTTTCGCCCAGACACGATGCATTTCTCTTCACTTTCGAACGGTAAAGAATCCTCTTTAAGCTCAAAAGATGCTTCTGCCCCAGTTACTCTCGATGTCTCTATCACTACAGCTGTGATTCTAGCCACTCTTTCTTCCTTTCTGTTCTTCTTGGCTTGCATCATAGTTTTCATATATTTCAAATGGCGTCTATGTCGACACGTTGTGGAAACTCGTATCGGACTTGTGGTCTTTTTCCTCGGAGCGTTACTCACCCTCATAACAACCCTCAGCTCCTATGAAGAACAAGAAATTTATGCAGTGTATCGCTTGACTCTCTTGGCCTCTTGCGGAATTGGAGTGTTGATGATAGGTTGTGCAATGCTTTTCGAGAATCCTTCCCCTGACAGGCCGCTGGATGACTACGGCTACGAAAGACTCTCTGTTGGTTATATGCACGGTAGCTTGGGAATGATCATCTGGGTCATAACGATACCCCTCAGCATACTAGAGCTCTTCTTCGCCATTGGAGCTGCTCGGAAAGCACCCAACACAATGTATGCTGCTGTGAGGTACACAGCTCTGGCGCAAAAGATTGTCCAAGCAAGCGTGTACTACTTTAGTCTGCGACACAAGGTTGCTAGAGGAGATATGCGTATGGCGTGTTCGTGGCTTTTCAAGATAATCTCCGTCTTCAATTTTGCTTTTTTTATCGACTCACTAGTAACGTCAAATTCTGATAACGACTTTGTCCTAAGTCTGTTTGGCAATGGGTTCTCCATCGTGAAATCTGCATATAATGCCTTACTCATTGATTACAGACTGCTGTGCTGTTTGTTGTTTTTGGAGCATTCTTTGGAGTTGATGGATGTGCGCATAAACCGACCCATTGGAGATATATTATTTAACCCTGAAGCTAGTGAGGCAATGATGCAAGATTCTTTGGCTTCTGCGGTTGTTAATGTGGAAATCTCACATTCCTCTGGCTATGGATATGTCATTGGCCTCATTCTGGTTGCCATGCAACTGGTAACTGGACTACAGTATCTTGGATTTGTGGGAGAGTGGACAAACATGTTCCCCATTCTAGCTTGTGGTGTTGTAATAATTTTTGGTCTCTTGCTACTCTCTGGAGACACAAGTTTCCCTGAAAACAACAGAGAGAGGAAATGGCGTGAGACTGAATCTAAGGCTATTGATATCATGGTGTGCTTTATGGGAACCATTGGCTTTATCTTCTGGTTCATGAAAGCTTCCTACTGTGGTCTTTGGGCCTCACAATACTCATCAACAACTGACATTGAGTTTTATCAGTATCTCTCTTGGACAACAGTAAAGAACTTTGCTTATGCAATTGTAATCATCTTTCAGCTTTACTTCTTTGTTAAAATGGGTCCACATTTTGGGTGTGACCGTGAGAGCAGTCGTCAGAGGGCAAAACACTTTTACGTCACAACTATCATGATGGCTCTGTTTGCATTGCTCATATCACTTGTCATTGATGAATTCAATGGCCGAGTAGAAAAGCTTCTTGCTGAAGCACACATCAGCAGCACCATGTCAATATTTTTCCAGGCAGCAGCCCCCATCCATCTTGGCTTTAGCTTGCACATGTTCCTGCATTTCTTCATTATGAGCAGAAGATTGTCCCAGTTTCAGTACAACTGGCAATACAGCCAGGCAGAAGAACATCAACATAGTCAACAGTCCTCACCAGGGAACACTGGTGGTAACAGTACATCATCAAATGTTGAAACAGGGAATGAAAGACAGCCATTGATTTCCCGCCCAATGTGATCTATATCACTAAGATGATTAACAAATATATTACATGACTTGCCATGCTGCAGTTTTGTAATAAATATTAATGATGTCAAATGGGGTTAGAACAAAAAAGTAGGACACAATGAGCAGTGGAGAGTGTCACTGATGCTCTTTTTTATATTTTTTACGTCTTCTGTGATATTTTATTGTACAGACACAGCTAAATGGAATCTATTTGTTTTCTAGGAAAACAAAGCAAAATGTTATTAATAGTGATGTTGTCTATGCATCTGTTCTCCAGTAGATTGTAAGTAAGAAGAAAGCAAAATGCATCTTTAATTCAGCTTATCATATAATTTACAATAAAATGCATACCTTAAGATTTCAATGTTCTGTTTCACCCAAGTTTTCAAGATCTTGAAGTAAATTGTCTGTAATGTGACCTGATTCATCTAGCAAACAAGAGAAGACCTTGTTGATACCTTGAAAAGACTTAGTAAATCAGATTTTGTTTTCATTTAAAATGACATTATTTTGCATGCTTTTATTTAACCAAGCTGTTGAGTTTTCACTGAAAGTAAACTTAAAAGGTCAAGTGAGTAATGTAAGATCACAAAGGTTTGAAATTATTACAGTGATCTTCAAGTAATACATTGATTGGCATAAAGTAATGTTCTATGTACGCCATTAGGACCTACATTATTTAAGCAAGAAAAGGATTATGGGACATGAGAGTGAACTGGCCATGTTGTTGTTAAAAGTATGCATTGATTAACCCTTTAACTCCCAAGATCTGATTGTTAATTCTCCCCTTTAGCTGCTACCACTTCCTTATAAAGTAGTTACGAGAATTTGGTGTTAGATCAAGATGAAAACTTCATGATAAGTTTGAATATTCTCATTACCTGTTTGCTAGATAATTTATGGATATTAAAGGGAGAAGTTGCAAATTAATCACTTTTGGGAGTTAAAGGGTTAAGAGACAATTCTACTGTTGTCATACGTCAAACTTTCCTTCCTGTGATCTATCACTGTACAGACCCACAGCAATATGGGATCTTTTTGTTTTAAATGATGAAAAAGCATAATGCTGTTAATGGTGATATCATTTTTGTGTCTGTCCTCCATTAGTTCTTAGGTAAGAACCAATCAAATTATGTACATAATTCAACTTATCATATTTGGTGTCTTTAATCTCAGTTGCAGATGAAAACAATACAAAAAAGATTCTGGTATTTGAAACATTGTTTTGAACAAATATTCAGATACACTTCATAAGATAGAAGATCCCTTGTTGATTTGTGAATTACAGTCAGCCTTGAATGAAGATCAATGTGCACAGAGAGAATTTTTTAGTCGTCATCAATTTGTTTGTGTTTTGGACAAATTTGATAAAGATTTGCTGCACATTGATGTTTGTACAGAGATAGGTGTTGTTTTATTTTTTCATTGTTGTATACATTTTATTTCTTCCAGTGCAAAGAAGTATGAATAGATGCACTGTGATAAATAAAAATCTATTTTTGACTTCTGCTTGGTTGATGTGTACTATAGGCATCATTTTCCCTGGGTTACTGTACAGTTCTATTTCTATGAAATTGTTTGAACAATTTGTTAAAAGGGGGTTCAGGCGGAAGGCAGTTGCCAGTAGGGAGTGGGGTAGCTCTGAGGGCATCCTCCCTCTGAAAATTTTTTTGAGTCTACAGGAAACATTTGAATTCTTTGAAGTTGGCCACCCAGCCGCCCACCCTCTTAGATAACAAAAAATCGGATAAGCTACCTAACTATGAACGAGCAGTGCTAATTTATGAGTATGTGTTCTTTGTGATTGTTTATTTTTTTTGTGTGTTGGAGTTCAAGTGTGGATTGCTCTCTACAAGCCTCCCCTAAGAGAGAAGTTCCAACATACTTGGATCAAAGCGAGATAAAAGTGAGCGATGTGAGTGCTGCGGAAGGGCTTGGGCGAAAGTGTACTCAACTGGAACACGGCATCGTGAAATAGGCGTTGACGCTTCAATTGGGTGGGGACGCTTGAGGTGGATGGTGACGTCTAAAAAGCCTGTCGACGTCAACAAAGAGTAGTTGCGCCTATATCTGGCGGCTACATCCTAAACTGGCTTTGACTTCTGACATAAGCGGTAGCGCGGCAGTGACGCGTACATAACGCAGCATGGACCCTACGTCTAATTTGGGTCACGGCGCCTTAGATTTACGCTTTCGTCTCACATGCTGTTGGACGATAATGATCTACCCTGTTTACAGAATTCTCTATTCATTTAAATCTTCGTTCAGAGCACGAGAAAACAGGAGCTAAGAGCAAAATAACGAAAGCGAGCTCTGGGGGCGGAGGAGGCCTGGCCTCGGCCTGGCGCACGCGCTTCGCTTGCAGAAAGATGAAAAATTGCACAGAAAAGCTAAGGTTGCTACAGATGAGAAGCGATGTCAAGTTCATCTAGCTGTGCCCAGACAATTATGGGAAGCACAAATTTTCGTAGTTTGCGACGAACCAGGAAAAGGTACTTCTATTACTAGTCTCAAGGAAGGCTGAAAGCAGGGCGGAGAGAGGTTGGTCCAACCTCGCTCTCGGCACAGCTGAAACAGGGTTGGGCGTGGTAGCGCGCGCAAATTTTCATTTTACGTAATGCTAACGTAAGTTCACGTCACAAAGAGAGATCACGCGTCAGAAATTGAAAACGGCAAAAAAATTTTGCAGAGTTAGCTGGCAGGAAAGACGTTCAGACTTGCAAACAGAACAGTTAAAAGGCTACGATGGCGAGTTGTAAGAAGAAATACTCTGAGGGTAAGTAAATGAAACGATCCTATGATCTTAAACAAAAGCAAGTGACCGGCTGGCTGGAAATTTCCAGGTTATTTTCATGGTAAGTCGTGTGGGGATGTTTGCGCGCTGAACCTTAAGAGTAAAAATGAAAAAATTACATACAACCAAACGTTTCGATAGTTGTTACCAAAACTGTCATCTAGGGTGAATCATATGCTGGCTCCACGGCAATAATAAACTTCACGGCAATAAGCTCCTCAGCAATAGGCTCCACAGTAGTATGACATTATCTTAATCATTCCTCCTCACTTCTCTTTACAACAAAGACAGTCAATGATCATTTTAGTACTGGAAAACGTGTTTAATACATTCCATTACCATAATATAAACCATTTTCATCGCATTAGAGTAATCTTCAATCATCATATTGAGCGTCGAAAGTAATTCGAGATTGTTTGGGTTTTGCTTTACTTCGCTCTGTGATTGGTTCTGAAAACTCGCGCCATTATCTCAGCCAATCAGGTGCAAAACTAAAACCTTGGTCGCCCGGCACGTTTTCCCGTGCTGTAAGCGCTTGGTCTTTTTTTAGCTTGAGTTCTCATTGGCTCTCGAGGGTATATTCCTTTGTTCTGATTCGCCGATGTGATAACATTGGTTTTGGTTTTACGACACTGAATCAAAAATCACTTTACTTTCTAACGTATTGTATTTGTTTTAGTTCGCACAAACCGCAAGGAAAAGTTATCCTCTCCTAAGAAAGAATTGTCCTCTAATAACAGCGATGTGCCTTTGTCTGACAACAATTTAATGTCAAAATGTAATGATCTTGAACAGACGAACAAGGTAGGTTTAAACACAAGCTATATGCTTACAGTTTCTCGCAAAAATTTAATCAACCCTTGAACAGGTTTTTTTTCTTGCAGCCCAGGGATAGCTTTACGGAATCAGATCAGTATAATTGGTGTTGCTTGAAAATTCTGGAAAATAGCGTAATTGGATAAGCATTCAGGCCTTCACTTTGGAATTAAGGAGGGTGTGAAGAAATGAATGTCATCGCAACTTCTTTTTCTTGACCTTGAATGTTTTCAAATCAGAGAACCCATCTAAGTAAATTTCATACATCTATACCTTTTTTTCATTAGGATTTGAGGGATCTTATCGAGTCCAAGAAAAGCTCGATTCATACGGCACTGACTACAATTCAGTAAGTCACCTATTGGATTTATACGGCTAAAAAATTATCAATTCTACTAGAAGTGGAAGGGTAACCAGAGTTAAAATTCATAAAAATTAGCTTGCATATGGCACAACCAGCGAGCGTACCCTCACTATTAGAGCTGTAGGAATTTGGGACGCGCGTTTCTCCGCCCGCGGGGAGACTGGAGACTAGTCAGAGAGGTTTGTCGGAGGTCTGGCACTAATAATGCCGGGCAGACCTCTTGCTGGCTCGTGTGGTTCAAGGCTTTATCCTTCCCGTGGGGCAAGAAACGCTTGTCCTGAAGCGTTACACTAATGAAGGCTCACTCGCAAGCACGCACGCTACGCGAGACAGAGAATACATGCAAAAGGGAAAGCTTAAAAAGTTACCAAAGAGAAAAATAAGAATCAATTATTTTAAAAGCATTAGCATATTGGATTTAGCTTGGAGCTACTGTAGTAGTCAGTAGTCTAAGTGTGTCAGGATTCCAAAGTCCTTTGAATTTACTGGTTAAGTTTCCTTTAACAATTACTCCGGCACATCTTCGGTAAAAAATAAACCCCATTTTTTTGTAAATATGCACCTATTCAGTGTTCTCGAGTGAGAGAAGGGGTCAGCTGAACACATGCTACTGATCTATAATATTACTTGGTGCACTTGAGTAACTGGACATAAATTAGTTAACATCCTTCTCTTGCACAACTAAACTTTTCCATTTAAATTCCCATGCAGAGATGTTCAACTGACTGTGAAAGAGGCGCGTAAAAGACTTGAGATGGAGACCGGTGCCATGAAGGTGAAAATTTAAACTTATTGTAAGAAATAACATTTAATGAAGTTTCCTCCTCAGTTTAGATTGAAAAACTTAAGTTACCAGTGGTCTTACGAGCCAGACGGATCGTTAGATTTAATGAAACTGTTTTTCACCAAACACTTTTTATTTTTTAACAGATTGAATTGGTTAAATTGCGAGCGGAGCATGTGCAGAATTACAAGCAAGTATTAGTTCCAGATCATTGAAGGGTCGATCTCGGTGTTGTATTTAGTGTTACCCTACAAGAGTATTATGAGATGTGATTTGCCCCTGAGGTGGCTCCATCTACTAACTTGCTGAAAACACTTCGTATTGACGAAGTGTTCAAAGATTTTTGCAAATTGCAGACGATTAAAACAAAGCTTTCTATGGATGAAATTTTAAATAAGCACGTAAAAGTCTTTATGATCATAACGCATCAGTATTTGAGAGATTAAAACCTCAGCGGCTTACGTAGAAATTCGAGATGACTTAAGTTACCGTTTGGGCAGTGCAGTGGACTGGTACTAGCTCACAAAGTGACTCACCTCGACTTTCCTCAACGATATTTGTGTTCGCCTCGGAAAAAGATGCCATAGATTTTTACGATGTGCATGAAAGGATGGCTGTTTTTATTGGAAGGTCTTGCGAGGGTGAGAGAAGAGACCTAGACATATTTTTCTGGATTCTTCTCAAGTGTTTGCCGAAATGCTGTTTTTTATCGCACCCGGTATCACATATACTCATATACAGTAAAAGTAATGGGCTCCTAGTAAAACGGTAACACCAAATTATTTGTTTGTTTATGCTTTTTACCAAATATTTTTCTCTTTATTTTTTGTTCAGACAATGTAATGTAAGCAGGATTCAAGAAGAGAAATATTATATCAATGCTGTGAGTAAACGGTGGTTTAGTTTTTTAAATTCAAAAAAATAATTCATTGCGTCAAGTCTACTTTTTTATTCCAACTTCTTTTATATCCTGGTTTTTTTTTCTCCATATTTTAGGCGAACGTAGACAAAATAAAAAAGTTGCGAAGGTGAGTACGTAATTTTGCAGTTGTCTTTCTCTCTTCGGTATTTTCTCTGGCAAGTGCAATTAATCGGTTACCTTTATTTTGAGGCTTCTCTTACTTCAAGGGAGCCGCCGACATCTTTGTTGCTGATGCGCATTTCGTTAAAAATAATCTAATTAACCAAAGGGACTGGGATTTATTTATTACCTGGTGTGAGGGGGAGGGGTAGGGGGGTGAGGGATTTTAGGGTGTGTGACAATGAAATTTCATCTTATCCTCCCTTACGCTCTGTAGTATTCTAATCCCCCCTATAGGCAGTCAATTTTCTATAGACCCCCTTTATACCCTGTTAGCGACAAATGATTCCCCCTCCTTTCCCTTTATGTGTTCCCCGAAAAATCCCCCGACCCTCCTCCCCCAGGCGATAAAGAATGTTTGTCAACTAAGACAAAAATATTAGAAGACGAGAATGACAAAATGTTTCTTAAGATGCATAGCAACTTTTGGCATTGCAAATCATTTTGCAACATTTACTTTAATTGTTCGTACTGAAGATTTATTTCTCTTCTTTTTTTGCAAGTTAGATCCATCTAATATCCTTTTGCTAGTGTTCAATGAAAAAAAATAGTTGACCACACATTTTACGGTAGATCTGGATCTGAAACTTTATAAATATCTTCCCCTTGAATAGTACCGCTGAAAAGCTCACAGAGAAAGCGACAAACTGCAAAAATGAGGTAAGATTAGAATTTTTTCTCTAGAAGACTGTGAAGCTTCTTTTTCCTCCGTTTTATAGCGTCCCCCCCCCCATTCCCCATTCAGTAAATAAAACGAAGTATATAAAAAAAACCGGCACAATTGTAGCAAATGAGTGTAAAAGAGGGGAAGGGTTGGACCCAAATCTCCCTCGGTTTTTTCTCCACAGCTACCATCGCGCCGTTCATTAAGTGCTCCTGCAGTGTGTTTTATCAGATACCATCTGGCTAACTATATATTTTATCGTTCAAAACAGATCAACCAGTTGATGACCGTGAAGGAATCGTCACTTTTAAATTTCAAGGTTTGATCATTGTGCTGCAATGCGCTTTTAAAATCATGTGTAAGCCGCTTGTACTCGGGACAATTTTAAAACCAACATGACC